TGATCCTTGTGAGTAAAACATCTGGGTGCAGGTAGGAAATGATTGTACAAAAGATGAAGTCATGCCTACTGGAACAGGAAACTTCAAGTTTGTAATGGTGAAGGGAGAACAACTTTGAAAGTTGAGTTGGAAACACTAGATTTCAGGATGTACAAAGAAGGAAGAACATTATTGATCATTGTCTTTCAGAATCACCCCTAGATCATTTCCCACTGGTGTGGCTCTTCTAGCTGGTCATGCTTCTTAAATTTAACTGATCACTGGATCTGCTATTCTCCACTGGAGAGCTCCTGCCTCTATGAGATTGCCATTTCCCTTAACCTCACCATGTTTCCCCTTTTACACATGCAATACCTATAAAGCCCCATTTATGAGACTCAGCCATTCCATGGAGTGAATGGATGTCACCTAGTTGGCAGCATAAACAAATGGGCCAGGTTATACATGTCCCTTCAGGCAGTTCCCTCAAAAAACAAGGACTAGACTCAATTATTTGAACTGAGCAGGAAACCTAAGGCCAAACAGCTAGCCACAAGGCTCTATTAGAGCCTTGTATCCTTGACAGATATGAATCTCGCTTTGGAATCTCAATGATTGTAAGCAATATATTCTTTCTAGTAGCCACATACTTCCTGGAACTCATGTGGAAGCCAGGCATTAATTTGCCTTCCTCCTGAGAACAGAGTCTCCTTCACTTTAAAGATGATCATTAAAGAGAACCTCAAGGGTTTAAGAGATTTCTACTAATAGATCACTTAGCCTCAAATGACTGTATAGATATCACCTAATGGGGCATATCCTGGTTTGCTTGGGAGGAGTTTCCCAGAGGGATAACTTACTTATTATTTATGTGCATTATGCAATCATCCCTAAGATGAACCCATCTAATTAGAAAAGGTTGTATAAAATTTGTTCCTGATCTTAACAAGTGATCGTTAGCACCACCTAGAATCTGGAAGACATTCAGACGAATCTCAACTCAGTGGCCAGGGTTGTTATGGATAATCGAATTCAGGCTTCTTCTTTGCAAGCCAAGGCAGTCTGTGCAATCACTAATGTATGCTGCTGTGCCTGGAGTAATGCCTTGGATGAAGGAGGAAGGTTCATATAGAAACAATGATAAAATTGGCTGGTTTTCTTAGACCCTTATGGTTTATGGGAATTGTTCAGCTGGTTGGGTCTGGGACACTGGGAGCATGATTGAAATCAATACTGCAGGTTTGCCTTGTCCTGTTGCTTGGAGTCTTATTACTAGTAGTCTCAATTAAATGTTGTATGAAACAAATGGAAAGGATTTGAGTCCCCGTTGGGGGTCAGATTAATCGTAATTATTGACAAAGTGGAGTATCATAGGGTAATTCACCAGAAGCCAGGACAGTGTAAAAATATAGGGTGGGTATCACTGGTAAACAATTCTCCATGGTTCTCTTGTGTTTCTGCATGCCTGACAGGCAAGGCAGTTGCAAGGAAGGCCCTTTGTTCTAAATTATCTTTTCATGGATGTTTGTATAGCAAACATATCTCTACCTACATTTGTTTATATAGCAAACATCCTTGGAATATAGGAATAGTGCTGTTGTCTGGAATAAAGAACATACACATTGCTCATAATAAAGCACTCATATTTTGCAGCTTCAACCCTCTGCATGTGCAGGTGGCATCTGGTGCTGTTTGGATGGGATGAATGTGCATGTGTGAATTAGATTTCAGAGAACTGACAAAAAAGCTCGTATTTTGGCTACTGCTATTGCTATAATTAATAAACTGTTTTTCATTTCTGACCCAGAAGTCTTATATCTTTTACCAGCATCTCTAAAACTGTAGCAGCCTAACTCATTAGCTTGCAAGTATGGTAAAATATCAGATTCTCATGGTTCTTGGCAATATAATATTACTTATATATGACATACCATATAATTATGTATTTTATACTATATACGATATATATATAGAATATAATTTTATGTTTTACACTATCTAAAATATATAATTATATGTACTAGATAATTTTATTTAATTATATATGCTGTATAATTATGGTACATAACAAGTTAAAAACATACAAATACACATTACACCTAAAATAACAGTTATAGCTCATAAGCCAACAAAGGATATATAATGGAATTCTAAAAAATGAAAAGGAAAAAGGAATAAAAGTACAGATGTGACAAATAGAAAATAAATAGCAAGATGACAAACTTAAATTTAACCCTACCAGTAATCACACTAAATGTAACTGATCTAAACACCGTAATTAAAAGGCAGAGATGGTCAGATGAATAAAAACACAAGAACTAACTATATGCTGCCTTCAATAAACACATTTTAAATATAAAAACACAAATAGGTTAAAAGCAAAAGGACAGAAAGAGATATGTTAATAAAAAGAAACATAATGGCTATATTAATATCAGACAAAGTGGATTTCAGAACAAAAGAATATTATTAGAGACAAAAAAGGACATTTCATAAATAAAAAGGGGTCAATTAATCAAGAGGACATAACAATGCTGAACATTTATGTGCCCCAAAATAAAATTTCCAAATACATTATAGAACTGAAGGGAAAAATAGATAAGTTTATAGTTATAGTCAGATATTTCAATCTCAATAATACATAGAAAAAATAGGTAGGAAATCAGCAAAGATTGGGAAGACTTGATTAACACTATCAACTGATTTGGACTAATTGCCATTTATAAGACATTTTATCTAACAATAAGAAACTTTTAAAAGTGCATATGAAAAATCTACCAAGACAAAGAGATAGTAAACTTCTTAGAGTATGCATAAATAATCATTAACTGAATGCTGGTGGAAATATGAAGCTTAAAGGCCATTCTGGTAATTACGGCCTCACAAGGAAATAAGGAACATGTTGGAAACTGTAGGAAAGGTGATCTCTGTCATAATGTGACAAAGAACAGACTGAACTGTCTTCTAGTGTTTTGTGGAGGGTAAAACTTGTGAGTGATGAAATTGGATATTTAGCTGAAGAGATTAAGTTAAGTGTTGAAATGGCTTGGTTCCTCCTGATTGCTTACAGTAAAATGCAATAAGAGAGGAGTGAATTTATGAAGGAATTGTTAAACAAAAGGAAGCAGAACTTAAAAGTTTGGAAAATTCTCAGCCTATTTATATTGCAAAATCTAAAAAGCTTGTTCTGAATAGAAAGCTTGTTCTGATGTCTGAACAACAATTTGGGAAGGAGATTATTATGGGTGTGATGCAGGGACCCAGACACCCCAGAAGAAACACTCACAATTTAAAATAAAAGCAACAGAGCTAGAATGAAATAAAGAAAGGCTATTGGACTTGTTAGATACTACAGGACTGGACCATAAAGATATTTGGTTGGAAACACACACTATTCAAGACAAAAGAAGAATGACCCTGAATGAGTCCAGAGCTTATGGTCTGTGTTTCAGCAGCAACATTTTATTTGATTAGCACTGAGTGAGCTTCTTCACTCCTGTGAGGATATGGTAGTTTTCTTTTTTTATTCTCAACTCATCTTAGAAAAATCAGTCAATCATTAGTGGGTGATCTTCTTTACATAGGAAGTTGATGACAATCCGCTAAAATTACACAATGAAATTGTCAACTAATGTGACCATTACATAATGAAAATATTTAATAAGGAAATTTCCAAGACCATCAATGGGCAAAGAAATTTGACATCTTTCAAAGTTAATTAGCAAATGCTTATCAAGAATGCTTATTTTCTTAAGCAGCTTCAAATGAGATAATTTTAGATGTTTTCTCATTGAGTGAGCCATTATGCAGTGTTTGGGATGAGGAAACAGAACTAAACTGTGTTTTGGGTTACATAAATGTCAGAGATCAATGAATTGCTAAATAAAGGCATTCCACTTGGGAATGACTCATTTAATCTTGGTTCTGCCCTTCATGTGAAAATGGAACATTCAGAGAAGGCTTATTTGCTATATCTTTCTCTACAAAATTAGAAACAAGTAACTAAGCCAAGGCTAGGTTTTGTGTCAATCAAATGAATGGGCCTGTAGATGAAGCTTTGCGTTAGGATTCTGACACCCCTGGCACAGAGATGGATTTGTCCCTCTTCATTCAATAAATAATTCTACTGGAAAAAACTGTGGCTTCTTCATGGGTAGAATAACCCAACTTTGTAAAGTTCTCCTCAAGTTAATCCATAAATGTAATGTGATTCCAACAACCTTTTAACCAGTTAAATAGATTGTAAACATCATGTGAAAAAAATGTATAAGTAAGAATGGCCAGGAATAATTAAAAAAAAAAAAACAGTCAAAGAGGATTATATCTGTTCTATATCAAAACATATTTTAAAGCTACCAAAATTAAAACAACATGGTAGTGGCACTTATATAGGAAAACCAATAAATAAAACAGAAAGTTCAGAAACACTACATATTAGTAATTTAGTAGATGATATAGGTGAAATTTTAATACAGTGAAAGAAAATAGGGACTACTGAGTTAATGGTTTTGGGTCATCTTTATAATTATCTGGGAAAAGACTGAATTCCCATCTACATATTATATACACCAAAATCTACAGATTGGTTACAATTCAGGTGTTCAAAATGGAAAGTAAAAGTATTATAAAAGTATATAAGATTCAGAAAATTTAAATAGAGAAATATTTTCTAATAATGAATAAAACCATTAAAAGCTGGTAACTTTTTGACAAAACAATTGCATTGCAAAAAAATTTTAAACAAAGAGCACAAAAGGAGAAAGGGTCAATTTCATATATATATGTACATATAAGTAAGCATATATATATATATATGAAGACCAAAGCCCAACGGGAAAAGAAAAAAAGATATGAGAATAATTTATTTATTTATTTTCTTTCTTTCTTTCTGTGTTTTTTTTTTTTTTTTTTTTTTTTTTTTTTTTTTTTTTTTTGTAGAGACAAGGTTTCACTATATTGTCCAGGTGGATCTTGAACTCCTGGGCTAAAGCAGCCCCCTGCCTCAGCCACTCAAAATGCTGGAATTACCGATGTGAGCCACTGTGCCTGATCCCGAAAAGGTAATTTATAATAAAGAAGATATAAATGATTGTTCTCAAATGAAACAAAATGGTGTTCAATTTTATTTATAATAAGGGAAATAGTAATTAAAATGATAATGATACATCATTTACTTATCTATTTTTAACGCATAACATGAGTAATACATGCTGCATTGGTTAGAATGTAGAGACATAGGTTCTTTCCTACATTATTGGTGGAAATGTGATTTGGTACCATCTTTACATGGTGCGATTTAGCAATGCCTATTAACATGCAAGATGCTTGTTAAAGCACCTTTGATATTCTATGAGCTTTAGCTCATATCATTATTAACTTTAAGTATACAATGTTTTGTTATATAAACTACATTTAACTAATTATTGCTTTCAATAGCAAAAAACAGCAATTAGTTTTGCACCAACCTAATAGTTTGCTCCCAACTTTTTGCTACTATAAACAGTGTTGTAATATAATCTTTTAAAATAACTCTACACACTTGTGGTATTTCTGAAAGACAGAGTCCTACAAGAAAAATTGTTGAACCATTTCTAGCTTCGCTGAGTGAACCTGGAAAAAGAAACTTAAAATTAAAGGCCTATTATAGATGCCATTAGTAAAAAAGAATCTCCCCTCCTTTCCAAACACTTCTGCCTACTTTTCTGGCTAGTTTCTGCATCTGCCTTCAGAAGTTCACATTTTCATTACAGTTTTTCTTAATTTGCCTCTATCTCTGCACTGTCATGGCTACTAGTCACAGCAGTTACCTTCATAAAAAATAGCCACAGTGGGCCGGGCGCGGTGGCTCAAGCCTGTAATCCCAGCACTTTGGGAGGCCGAGGCGGGTGGATCACGAGGTCAAGAGATCAAGACCATCCTGGTCAACATGGTGAAACCCCGTCTCTACTAAAACTACAAAAAATTAGCTGGGCATGGTGGTGCGTGCCTGTAATCTCAGCTACTCAGGAGGCTGAGGCAGGAGAATTGCCTGAACCCAGGAGGCGGAGGTTGCAGTGAGCCGAGATCGCGCCATTGCACTCCAGCCTGGGTAACATGAGTGAAACTCCGTCTCAAAAAAAAAAAAAAATAGCCACAGTTACTTAGGACTTTACCTTATTATAATTTTTCTTTTTAAATGGATTTCCATGTGTTGTGTCTAATTTTTCTTAGTGGAGACAGCAGAGGTCTGCTCAGAGCAGCTTAACGAAGCCATCTGTGTGTACAGAAAAGCAGAGACAATAAAAACCTGTTGACAACTTTGGGCAAAGCTGTGGGCCTCATGTTCTGCAATTTATGTGAGGAGCTGAAGAACAATCAGTTCAAGCTGGTTTTTGAAAGAGGCACAGTCTGTAGTACACTTTTGGCAGGTCAGCATCTTTGCACTACAGCAAAGAGGTATCTGAGTCCAAAGAATTCTGAGATGTTCAGTAGGAGTCCACAAACAGGGCCCACGAAAACAAACACACACGTTGCTGCAAAGAGAAGAGCAGAGGTGCTGGTGGTTTTTTCCCAATTTTCCATCTAACTTTATTTCTCTCTTAGCAGACAAGCATACTGCATAGTTCTCTGTCCCACTGTTGAGTGCAGTGTTATATCAGAAACGTCCAACATTGTCAGCAGAGATACACAGGTGGCTAAGTGCTTCGGGAGGCAGTGGTGTGTGGAAAGGACTTTGTCTTTCTGCCACTCAGACTTGTGTTTTAATCTTAGCTGCGTCATCTCCCAGCTGGACTATCTTGGGCAACTCTCTTTTTCCTACTTTTTAAAGGGGAGAAAACAATACCTGGCTTACTTGATTGATGTGAAGGTTGAAAGGAATGTATATGACATTGCTTACTTTCTACCTTTCCTTTCTCATCTCCTTGTTATCTTCCATGTCCAGTTCTGTGGCTCCTACACTGATGCTTCCACTGAAATTGCTCTGGTCAGCTTACCACGGCCATCTTAGTTACTAAATGACTGTCTTCTGTGGCTTCTCAAAAACGTTGACTGATCCTACTCTCTTGAAACATTTTCTTCCCTTGGCTTGCAAGAACCACACTTTGATTAATTCTTCTAGCTCCGTGGACACTTCTCAGTCTCCGGTGTCTTCTCGGCTCCCTCGTCCCCATCCTAAAGTTGTTGGTACTGAGTTTCTGTTCTGGATCCTCTTCTTTTATACACCTTTGCTACACAATCCCCTTTACATCCAAGACATCAATGATCATTTATATATTTAAGTGTCCACCACACAATTTAGGTTCAAACAAACATACCCTAATCAGTGTCCAGAGGGTCCAGAGGGCACTGTTTGGGCACCACAAGTTGGTGCAAGAAATTCAGAGGCCTGACCCATCCATCCCTCACTTCTCTAGCCCGGCCTTTGCTCCCCACCTCTTCATGGGTCCTGGCATCTCAGAGGCCCAACTGGTCTCCTGAGGAGGAGAAGTCCAATCCTGCCTGGCCCTATCTTGGTTTCTGCTAGCTTGGTTTCTGCTGTCTGCTGAGAAAAGGCTGGGCCATATCCTCATGTCCATAGTGACCACTAGTTATTGGGTAGAAGGCTATCTTTGAGAGTAGTTACTCTGTGATTGTGGGCTTTCAACTTCTCAAGGTTCCGCTTAAGGCAAGGGGCCTTCATTCAAGTTACACAAAGCCTGCAGGATTGAAACTCATTCTTCTTGCTCCCTCAGGCACTTCTTCAGGGCCCAGGGTCGAAGCAGTAGGAAAAGAACTGGTGTTAGTCCTTTTTCCTCACACTGAATCTTTTGCCCAGATTTGTTGCTTTTGCCTCCTGATGTCCCCACCTTATGACATAATGTCATAAGGTCACGGTGGACCAGAGCAACTGGACGCTGAAGTATCTTTGATGGCACAAGGCTACATAGATACACAGAAACATTTGAGTCTTCCCTTGAGATGACTCAAGAAATGAGGTTATTCAGAACTTTAGGGGAAGCTTCAGTGGAAGACAGGGCCACACAGGGGACGTACTGCTTGTGCTAGAGAAGCTCAGTTGGTTCGGAGTGTGGTGCCAGTCGCTGCATCCAAGGGTGCTGATGGGAGCTATTTCTCAGAAGATCTTGGAGAGAAGCAGCCCCATGTGTTAAAGCTCCAGAGATAGAGTGTGTGATCCTTCTCTCTTGATCCTTAAGTGTTAAAGATGTTACAGACTCGTTCACGTACTTGGCCACTATCTAGGCTGGTTGCATGAGAGCTGGGCTGGGATAGGTTCCAGGCCCACAGCCTCTTCTGTGGTAGTCATTTATGCCATTTCCCAGGAAATTCTGGCTCTCTACTTCCCAGGCATATGATCTTAATGCACTCTGTGGCCCTCTTCTTATTTCATGGGGCCATGTGACTGTTCTGATCAATGACTTTTGAGCAGATGTGATGTGAGTCGCTTCCAGGCAAGAGCGTGCCATTGCTGGTTCTTTCTGGTACGCAGTGACAAGGTTAGAAATATGATTGCTTTGTCATTATGGGTACTGCTAACCCATAATGGACATGTAACAGGCATGAGAAATAGAACCTTTACTGCCATAAGCCATAGGCATTCTTCAGACTATTTGTTACCACAGCAGAAACTAGCTTATCTTGACTGATAATCTTTCCCATCAAAGCACATACTCTCTTGGATGGCATAGGCAGATTTTAAAAGACATTTTTTTTTTTTTTTTACACAAAGGGGTCATTATCTCCCTCTAGTAAGACAGTAAGTCTCACATTTATCTAAGTTAGGAACCAACCAAGATACTCTTCACTGAGTAAGGAAAATCTAGGATAATTTTCTTTGTGTCCCAGACTGTGAAGTCATTGGTAATTTTCTTAAAAATAAATAGAAACATCTTGGGTAGGAAACCCTGGTAAATTATCTTACCTTGTCTCCAGCCCAGATCTGCCATGGCCTTCAGATATAATTTTCACTGCTTACTAGATATCTTCACTTGGAGGTCCCATCTGCATCTAACTCAACACACACAAACTCAGTGCTCTACCTCAAAAAAAGTTTTCATCAACAGAAGGATGGAATCATCCAGCAATGGAAGCATCTTTGACCCTTTTGTCTTCCTTTTCCCACACACTAAACCTTTTGCCCAGATCTGTGGCTTTTGCCTCCCGATGTCCCCACCACTATACTCTGTACTGGCCATCACTATTTTCTTCCTGGGTCAATCTGAGCCTTTGAACGGGTTTTCTTGTCCTTTGTATTTTCTTTTCTATCCACACTTCACACTGTAGCCAAATGGATATTTCTACAAGTAGATCTGACAAGTAGGCCTGATCAAAATATTGCCTAGTTGAAATCACTTTCATAGTTCTCAGTTTTTAAAAATGTTATCTGTAAGCCCCTGATTTGGTTCCGCTTCCTCGTTGGACTGATGCTCCATAGTCAGCCACACGGAACATAACTGGGAGTTGCATGCTTAAAAGCCTAACCTCAACCTTATTCCTCCAGCTAAAATGTCCTGCTCCTCTTTTCTCAACTAATAATTTCGCTCACTTGTTTGTCCTTAGCTTAGATCTTACTTCCTCTAGGAAGCCTTCTGTGACCCACCCAGGCAAGAATACATGGCCTTTTGCTCCCCTTACAACCGATTCTAGTGCTTATTTCTGTATAATTCTGTCACAATTTCCCGTTTCTGCTAATTGCCCATCACTGAAATACTGTGCCAAGAGTTTACAAAGATATGTCATTTCATCCTCACAACAATCCCTTGAGATGAATAATGTTCCCGTTTTTGAAATTTATCTATCATTTTAGAACAACAAACAGAGATGCAAGGTAAGTGATTCAAATCAATAACTAGTTCATGGTAATGAGAGGCTGAACCCCTGAGCCTGTGTCCAGCCTCATGGGCTTAACCACAATGCTGTGCTACACAACTGTAGCGTGTTCAAACATGATCTATGTTGTCCATTGCTGCATCCCCAGCACTTAGCACAATGCCTGGTACAGAACAGGTACTCAGTAAGGTAGCTAAATAAATGAATAAAAGACAGAAAGAATGAAAAGCTGTCTGGAAAATGATAGGCACAT